CTATATTTTCTATGAAGAAGAAAAAAAGTATCTAATTAAATTGGACCAGAAGTCATGTTAACTCTTCAGCTCAGAATTGCCCAGGAATAACTCGGGCAATAGCTTTTATTCATTTCTCCCTATTTGAAAAACACTTGTGTTGGGGTCCCTGCTGTCCTGACACCTTGGGAAAATTCTTGGGAATTTTTTGAGAATGTTCTTGGAAATACTGAATATTGGTAAATATTGGTATAGTGGAATATTGGAAATATTCTTGGAAAAAATATCACAGGACTATTCTGATGAAAAAGTTTTCTTTAGTTTGTGTTTTAACAGTTCCAAACTTGTACAAACTTCCAACAGTTTTAATGGAGCCTTCAATTTTTTACCTACTCAAGAACTCAGCAATTGCTTTAATTTTTTGGTATTTTTCTTTCATATCTTTCCTAATGCATTTTTTTTCATGTTTGTTTAGGGCTAGTAATAACCTTAATGGTAGAAAGTCTGTCTCTGAGACTCCAAGCCCTACAAATTTGTGGTTTTTTAGATCTCCCATCTCTTCCCATTTGCAAGGAATGTAGCTAAAACATGCTGATGCTCTGGTTCTGGACCATGGATAAACTCTACAGAATGTTTTTTCCATCTTCTCACATCTTCTTTGCTCTACTTTCTACCCTTCTTGACTGACACTGTGTCGTTCATACCCTTCTTCTAAACTTTTGCACTGAATTCCTCCAAGATATTCTTCACACTTGTCATCTGTCATTTGCCTTAACTGCAGTTGCCCCTGTAGTTATTGCACATCTACTTATCTGTCCTTTGCCTCCCTTGGTCTGCTGCACTGACCAGAGCACTCAGTACTTTCTATTTCTTTCAGTTCTCATTTTGTTCCTATGGAGTGGTCAAATAACTCATACATGTTTCATTCTTCTGTTGGGGTCACTGACCAGGTGCGGACAATCAGCTTGTTCAGTGGCACCTACAGCATGATCTCTAAAGCAACAGACAAAATGTGGTGCTCTGCAGCAGTGAGGAAACATATTCTCTGTATTTCTTAAAATCTGATGATGGTGAGTTTCTCAGCAAACCAAAGTTTAATACTGATTTCTTCTTTCTGTAAAGGTGCCTTGGTAATGCAATGGTCATTCTGAGTGTTTCAGGGCATGTTTGAGAACTGTCCTGTAAAGAAAGGCTCTGCCATAATTATTTTGGCTGCCCATACTGGGGGTAGGTTCAAATAAAAGAATATATAGCATTATATCCTCTTACAAACTGCCAGCAGATATTGTGGCAGATCTCATCCTACCTGCTTATTACATTAATTTTTACATCTGTGTGACACCAGGTAGAAGTCCAGAGACCTGAAGTATTACACTTGCCTAAGCACAGAAATCAAATCATGAAAGAGCCACTGCTTGCACTATAACAATGTAGACATATCAGTGCTGTTCCTGAGTGTCAAAGTTGCTGGTATTGTCATAATTATCTGTGTTCTGAGCATAATTTGGGAATATATTTAATTATACAGTGTACCATCTTACCTAAAGTAAACCAATGTTTTATTAAACTCACTGGAATTAAATTTCTCCAATTAAAATGTTTCTAATTTAAAAGGTTCATTTTGGAAAAACTCTTCAAATCTGAGCTAATTAGCTGGGATTGCCTTTTGGAATACTGTATAAAATTTTTCCAAAATATGTTTAAAATAATTGAACCAGCTGTCTAAAATTTAAAAAAGAGTTTTTCTATGATTGCTCATGCAAAAATGGTAAAATGATTTTATAAATTATTTTAATCTATCAGTCTTTCATATACCTACAATTATATGCTCATCTAATTGTAAAACCAAAAGTGGATATTTATTGCTGAACTGTGATTCTTACTCAAAAAAACCCCAAACTAAACAAACACAAACAATTAAAAACCAAGCCCTTTTTCCTCAAATGTTTCATTGTATTTAGAACTGGATTAAAATTTCAGAAAGCTTTCTGAAAATATCCCCTAAATTAATTAGATTGTTTTTACTTTTATGAATCCTAGCTGTAAACCTGTTTCAGATAATAAGTAACTATTGTAACATTTTAACCTGATTTACCTTTAATCTTGAAGTTGTAGTGCTTTGGGGCTTATAGAGGAGAGACAAGTAGCACAAATGAACCAGAAGGGTTCAGTTCAGGTGGGGCTGGACTGAAATGGGTCCCTCCAGGGACATTTGGTAGGGTCAGTAAGGGCTGGTAGAGCCCTCATGGCCCTGACAGTATCCTTCTGTAATATTTTAGTTATTAGCATTATTAAAGCTCTACATAATTGTAAGAATGTTCTTACATTGTTGGGTTTTGTTATCTGCAGTATAATTTTTGAATAGGCATCACAAATCATTGTAACCTGAAGTTTGCATCAAGAGAGTAACAGGTCTGGTCATGGAGAGAAAAAAATTATCCAGTGTTTTTATGCTTTATATATGTTTGTATTCCTATGAGTAATATTCATTGCACTTTATACTCATCTTACAAATCAATAATTCCACTTACTTCAGCTAAGACTTCTCTGAATGTCTAGCTCCTCTGAGCAGATTATTTGTGAATTCCTTGAACCTCCGTCTTTAGGCACTTCCTGCATAAAATAAAGTGCAGGTAAACAATGTGGATGAAATGCTGGACTTCTTAAATTCATAGGAGTTTTGCCACTGCATTTTCTTTGGTCCAATATTTAAGATTGCTGCTCTGTATTTATCATCAGAAAATGAGGAATATAGATTTAAGTTAACTTCTTCAGCCCTCTTTTTTTCTCTTATATAAGACAAGAAAAGTAGAGGAAAGAAGGCTGGCTCATCTAATTTTTCATTATCCTGTATTTTGAAATTTGATATCCAATATTCTTTTTTGAAAACTAGAACCTGGGAGGCAGATTTTAGCCTGAGGTTTGTGTTAAGTGTTTTTCTATGGCGAGAGGAGAGAAACCTTCAGATCTGACTGTGATCAGTCTTTGTGAGCAGAAGTTTCCAAACATTTGCTGAACAGGCAAAAATAGGCATAGCTGTATCCTCCCTTGCTAAGGATAAGGTTATTCTAACTGAGAAGACTTTTAACCAAAAAGTGACTAAACAAAAGTGGAAAGGGCTCCTTAAAAGTGTTTGGCCTTGCTGATGCCTATTAGGACAACTGCTTTTCCCAGAGCAGCAGTTGCCTGGACTAATGATTTTCAAAAGACCATAAGAAAAGTGGAAATCAAGTGGTGAGAAAAAGGTCCTTAACAGCTGCTTTTGTTGCCAGAAGCTCCCTTGATTGCATCACATGTTCATCTCAAACTAGTAAAATTGTACCCAATGTCTCACTGATAATTATATCTTTTTATCTGGAAAAATGGGCAAGCCAAACAGTCTCTTTCATCTGCCAGAATCTGTGAAGCAGAGGTAATTGGCAGGATGTTGGAGAGGTCATAGCATAGTCCAGTGAGAGATTAAATACACCTGAACTCCTTGAAATTATCTCAGAATTATTTCAGGCTTCCCAGGAAACTGATTATCATTTAAAGTTAATGATCATAGTGAAAGATCATGGGAAGAATGTTTCTTGTACAAGAAAACTCTGGATACAAAGGAAAGGTCTGTAAAGCACAGAAAATTTTAGAGAAATTATGCATCATTCAGGTAAAAATAAATCCTTATATATGTCTCCTTATGTAATTTCCTTCTTATTAAAAAAACTTTCAAGAACAGCAAGAACCAATATATTAAGAGACACACATAACAAGGTCTCTTTAATCTTACATGCTTAATCCAGGGATAACCAATAATGGATGCCCAGGGAAGAATCTAAGAATATAACAAGTATATAATAAATTTCCCAAATCTCTTCCTAGCCTTTAGTCATTCCTACCTAAGGCACATCCCCAGCTGTTTGTCTTCCTGCTGTTGGGTACACATAGGTAAGCATGCTGAGTGCTAGCAAACTGCCAGGAGCATTGCAGAACCCATGGTCTCTCTGCAAGCTTCAGGGAATGAGCTCTGTGCTATCAGGTGATTTCAGGAAGAAAAGTGCTTTTCTGCAGCAGCAGCGACAATCCTATTTTTTTTCCTTCTCTCATGCTCTCACCCCACTCGAGTGAGAGCATGATTGGTGAGCTTGCACTTTTTTTTAGGCTGTTTCTTTTAGCTCTCTGTTGAAGCTCTGCTCCTTTCCTGCACATCTGCACTTCCCTTAAAGGAGTGCATGTGGCTCCTCGTTCTTCTAGAAGCAAAATCCCATTCTTTTTGGGATTGTTTATGCTGGCTTTGAACACAAATGTTTGTATATGCAAACATTTTTCAAAAGCTCAAACCTAGCTGTATGCTGAGAGCCAGATAGTAATCCTGCCAAGTGACTTTAAAAATGCTAAAACTGTGGTTAGCATAAAGTGTTTGTCTCCCTGCTGTATCAGTTTGATCCCTAATAGTACCAGTAAAGTACTAATGGCAGTGGATCAGGGCTCTCTGCTACAAGATCTCACCTTCCAGTGCTATCATTGTTTTCTTTGAGAGTAACAATTCTCTTTATCTTCATCTCTTGTCTTTACATCTGTGTTTGCAAGGTTTTAGAAAGTGCAATGCAAATATTATAGATTGTGCAGATTAATGGAATAATACAATATAGTGTTAGTTAGGTAGTTAGAAAAGTATAGGTTAACCATACATGGGAAAGGCTAGTGGAACAGGTTGGCATTATGGTTTTTGGAATTTGGAACTTTGTAATATTAACAGGAAATTAAAACCCAAATTTGAGTGTTCGGGCATGCAAAGAAATCAAGTTGAAGTCTGATTTCTGAAGCAGGGATTGTATGCACAAGGATTTCAAGTTTAAAGTAGAACTCTTGGTATTCTTTAATATAAAAATTTGACTTGTAAAATATTTGATGAAATTATCAAAAAGGACTGTTATGCTTGACACAACTTCCCTCTCAGCATGCATGTTAATACTAAGTTCTAACTTAATTTTACCTCAATTTTTTGTTCTCTCATTTATTGTCTCATACATGTTTCCCAGGATAGTCCACTGGTCTTACAGTCTGACAGAAATGTAACAGTGAATGCAAGAAATCACATGGGACAGTTAACTGGACAACTGACAGTAGGTGAGTGTTCTTTATTGACTGTTATGTTTACCAATTTAGCTTTATTAATAGGTTTCATTTGTTATCATCACATATAAAATATTACTAAAAAGTCAGGAAAAAGAATCACATCACCATGCTCAAAAACCATTGCATACAATGGATCATAAGAGCATGATTCAGCATTAGCTCAAGAAGAAAAACTAGAAATGCCTCAAAACAGCCAAAATGAAAAAAGCCTAATGAAAAATTATTATTTTTGAGACCATTGTAACAAAACAAACTGAAAATGCTTCATCAAAATATGTTTCAACAACATATTCAGCAGGAAAATAACCACAATTTTCTTACACTTTCTGTCAGTCTTCCATTACCTCAGTGGCAATTGATTTGGCCCTGTCACTTTGTGTAGAGCATTTGTATCAGCACATATTCAAAGTGGTTGGAGTTACAGAATGTTAAAAACCAGAAAAAACCCCCCAAAAACCAAACTGCTTTCCTAGTCTCTACAAACATTAAATGAAAAGGTAACATATTTCCAACCATTCATTAAAACTGATATTTTACAAAGCATAAAATATAGCAGTTCCAAATGAAATGGATAGTAAAGAATCCTCTACTAATCTTGTTCACTTACCATGTATTTCCCCCCGTTTTATGAAATTTATTGTTATACTTTGTTTTTAGTATGAATCATACTTCTTGTGTTAATAAATATGAAGTAATATTTTATTATATTTTTTGAACTAGAGGAGTACTGATATTAATTTATTTTTAAGAATATTGGCCAGAAGAATCACTGAAAGATTATTTACTAGTTCTGGGAATGGGATAAAAAATATAACAACATACATTCATAAGACCTTAATATATCAAATTCAAGGAGACACCGCTTAGACTTTATTTGTTTTCATTTTTTTCATTTTACTTCTGGATTAAGATGTGTTTTATTCATTGTTTTTTCCTCATGTGCTGAGGTTATGCCCACAAATAATTTTAACTTACACTCTAGTTGTAATCTGTGCTAAGTTTTCATAGTGACTGAAGACAGTGGCTTCTAGTTGTAAAAATCTTTTCCAAGTGCACGCAGTGACACACCATCTGCACTGATTTCCCTGAGCATCCACATCGAATGAGCGTGCAAAGGTAACCAGACTTGCTAGCAGGTACAGATGAGGAAAATTAAGGTAACACCTGTTCTGGCCATATTGTGCTTGCCCAGTGCAATTACAAAATGCAGTTCTCTATCATCTTAACTCTATTGTAAAACCTCTATGGTTTTACAATAGAGTTAAGATGATAGAGAACTGCATTTTGTAATGGTATGGTAACTCTATTGTTAAAACCTCTTCAGGTGGTAACTGCAAAAAGGTGAGTTGTCCACGGCAGACATTCACATTGGCTGAAATAGATACAATATTTTTATCACTGACACTATTCTGGCTGCGTGAATCCAGCACTGAAAATGTGTGTGAGTGTATTGAGGCTGACCTACTTAAAGGCATCACACTAGAGGTTAATATTCTAAAAACATGGATTCCTGAAAAAAACCCTATGTTTTTATGTTACCGTCATTAGGGTGAACTCTTTAAGCTTCTTGGTGTGCAGCTGCTGCCGTCCGTAGAGACTAGAAGCTTGTTAAATTTTAATATTGTATTTACATTACTTCTTAATCTATCTTCCTCTTTGTTTCATATATGACCTTTGCCATTTCTTATATCAGTATAAAAATATTTTTCTGGTTTTTTTTGTGAATCCCTGGTACAGTATTGGATGCATGTTAAAATACTCCTTATCTCTTTTTAAATACTTCTTAATACAGACAGTCACAACTGCCAGTAGAATTAGTAAACCCTGAATGTTTTCCTATTAAGAAATCAAAGACATTTACAGGAATCTAAAAGTAAAAATATATTATTAAGGCACTCCCTTCTAATTTTTTTTTTGTTGTGAAAAACAGAACAGAGACAAGTTTTTACTTTTGTCTGGGTAAAAGCATGGCTACATTTGCTGAAAGAATGGTAGGGGTCTTTTCCATACAAAGTTTGCTGACAAAAGAAAATATTGTTTTTCCTATTAGTTGTAAATGTGCCCCAGAAAGTCCCTGTCTTTAGAAATGCTCTCTGTCCATTCAGTAGTGATGTGTGCTGAAGCAGCTGTTTGTGTGGCTGCCCAGTGAAAGGAATGAAAATAAACAGTGAGGAAAAATGTTTTAAACAGCAACAAAAAAGCAAATTATCATGTCTTGGGGAAAAAAAATCTAGTTAAAACTTTGAAATGTCATTATCTGTTCAGTTTTTAAAGAGTTGAATAATAAGCAGTAAAAAAATAGAATACATATTAATATGCATAGCAGGAACATTCTACAATGAAAGAAGGATGCCAGTGCATTCAAAAGGATGATAATGCACTTTTTATACATGTGATATCATTGGCATTTTATCTTCATTTCACAGGACTGAAGTGATACCACAAACCAGCAAATAGGCTGGTCTCATCCTGTGTTTGGCAACCACATTGCCACTCATCCCAAATTTTAGGACAACTAAAAATTCTTTCTGTGGTGTTTGAAACCATGCCATGTAAGAGTAAGACAGCCTTAAGAGCGTATAATTAGAACTGTAATAGGAAGATGGATTAATGTAAGAAAGTGTTATTATTGGGCTGGGTGGGAATATGGCTATATGTTCATTAAGGGAGATGGAAAAAAAATCCAGTGAAACTCTTAATGGGTATTCAATTCGGTAAGTGACAGAATATGTCATTAAAATGCATCATTAAGACATCTTGGGAAACATCCTAATCTAGGAGGAGTGAAGACAAAGGATATTAAATAATTTATTGTTTTTAAAAAGTAACTAAGTGTATTGGATGATTGAGTGGTTGCATGTTTAAATGGTATAAATTCAAGTTATGCTTCAGGACATAAAGACCAAGGGTACACCCATTATTGCAGTACAGCATTTTTTTATACTGGCACCAAAATCTGTACAGAGAGAAAGTCACAGCTGTAGCAGTGCTTTCTGTTGGAAACTGTACCAACTGAGCAAGAGATGTTGGTTTGTACTCCAGTCTATTCATGACATATGGTCTGGAAACTGCCAAGTTTGTGTCTGCATCTCCAAGAGGACTCCACAGCCTTCAGTTTTTAGACATGCCATTTAAGACCAATGGAGCAGATGTAGCACAGACATGAATTGTATGTGCAGAATAAAGATGAAAAGATGACAATCCATTGAATTTTGCTGGATAAGTTGACAGATCTCTCCCCTCTCAGCCCTTACTTACTTATACTTCTGCAGTGTGCATTCTACAGAATTACCTTTACACAACATTTTTTCTCTGTTTAATCAATGTTTGCACAGTTTATATGAAAATTATTCTTTTTTTCTACCAATCTTAGAAATGCACATTAGTTGCACCCTTTGAACCAACAAGTCTTTTGTCTCCATGCTGTCTGCGCATCTTAGATAGCTCTTCCTGCTTTTGAGTGGAGTATATTAGGCTCACAAGCACTAAAAAAAAATGTAATGTGACCTTTGAAACTGAAACACACATTTGTATTTAATGTAAATTCATCCTCAGGTTGGATTATTATTTCAACTTTGTTGGTTTTCTTTTTTGAGAGGTGTTTTTTCTTACTTTTTTCCTTACTGCAATAATTGCTTCTGACAGGTATTTCTGCTACTGTTTGACCCTTTTCAATTCATAAAGAACTCTAGGGATATCTGAAATGCACAAAAAAAAAAAAAAGCATTTTGTTTTTGCTAAGCTTTCAGCCCTCAGACAGAATCATAACTCTCACAGACATCCAGACCTGTACAAGTCACAGCTTTGGAGAGCTCCTGAACCTGTCTCTCTAGTCACTGAGATCTCCAGAGCCATGCAAATTCAGGAAAAATATTTGAATACCAAATTTATATCACATTCTTGCAGCTACTTTTTGAAAGTAGCAGGCAGATGTATGATTTTCAATTGCAGCACTGCTAAAGACTGATAACACTGCTAAAAGATATACTCAAATAACTTGTCACACTTGGAGATCCTTTCCATACATTTACCACAAAACTTGTCTTGTGTATTCCGAGATCTTTGTCTTTAAGATGTGCTTGCTTACTTGTGGGGCTCCATCAAGAGTGCTTGGTTTGTTGTGCAGAAAATGTTGGACATTAGAAACTGCAGGTATGTAACTTTGTGGGAGTGGGTGCCTCCTTCATCATCCATACCTATATGCTGTATATCAAGTGATACCTTAGCAGGTAACACATCCTGCTACCCCTTCGCTTCTGAGGTCCTCAAAGTAACTCATCACCTCAAGGCCACTCCTGGTGCTCTCTCTGCAACATTTAGATAACAATGTAGAACTGAAGCAAGATATACAACATTTCAAGTATTCTTGCTTTTAGAATAATCTGTGGGAGTAACGAAATGTTATAATATATTCTTTCTCTATGGGGTACCAACAATAATTATAAGGTATGTGTACAAATACATGTATACATGTTGCTCTAAATCTTTGGTATTTTTGTCAAACATTTGTTTGAAATTTTTATGAACTTGAACTAAGTATCCATTAATAACATGCTTAATGAGACAAGAAATGTTTCTGGTTTTGAATCTTGTTTGCATATACTGTAGCCTCAAATGTAAGGTCTTTTCTCCCAAGTATTGCAAGAAGAGGGTGGTTTTAGGACGATCATAAACATACATCTTTTCCTTACTGTTGGAAAAGGGAAAAAATGGTCTCAGCTCTTCTCTTATCTGCATAATTGTTCTTGTATCGTCTGTAGTAGAGTGCTGGGAGGAAAGGGATGAGTTGGTTTATGATCCCTCATCAGCTTCTGCCTTTCAACTGAGCAAACATGGATTAGAACTTGTCAGGAGTATGTGAAAGAAAGGCTTTCTCCTTCTGCTTGCAAAGAGGTTTGCCTACCTGTCATTCCAAACTGCAGTGAGATTTCAAAAATCTGAAATACATTAAACATTCTGCTAGTCTAATTTCCATATTAAGGCAATTACTC